TACCACCCTGAGTCCCATCTATAAAATGAGGGTGGATTTGAGAAATGCCCTCTTGGGGGTGGTGGTGGTGGTGGTGTGAACTTAGGGTGGTAAACTGTGGATTGTACAAGCACCTTAATGAACCCAGTACCCTCCACCCCTCCAGGAATACTCCAGGACCAAAGACTTGATCTAGTTCTGTGTCCAGACGCCTTTAAGGACTCAGTTACCTGATCTGACCAGCAGGGAAGCTGAGTCCTGAATCCCGCCTTCAGAATCCTGCTGCATCAGCTGCACAGGACCTTCCCCGGGAGTGCTTCTCAGTGCCCCAGATGCCAGCCCAGATGGCGTACCTGCTGAGGGCACCACCTTTCCGTGCCATGCACTCACTGGGGCACCAGCTGGCCAGGGGAGCTCTGGGGGAGGAGACACGGCCCTCCCCACTGCTAATGACTGGCCTTTATCAGAGCTACTAGCCAGAATCCAGCAGTTCAAACTGACGCATTGGGCCCGGGCCCCAGGGTCCTTACCTGTGAAAGAGGGATGCGGGAGTCAGGTCCGGGAAGGAGATCGACAAGGGAGATCAAGGTCAGAGTGACCCATTGCTGGCTTTGAAGATGGAGGAAGGGGCCACGAACCAAGGAACGTGGGCAGCCCCTCGAAGCTGGAGAAGGACCAGGCTCTCCCCTGGACCCCGAGAAGGAACGCAGGCCGCTGACACCTGGGATTTTGCCCTGCGAGACCGTCAGAACCCTGACTTCAGAACCCCGAGGATAAACAGCTGCTGTTTTAAGCCACTAAGATTGTGGCAAACGAACACAGTGGGTGTGTATTTTATAACCACCAAAGAAAAAAAAAAAAAGCGGCTTGTTCTTCAAACATTTTTTAAAAGGCAGAGTTGTGTGTAAACTGGCTTCATTTCCACACAGGGGCTATTTAATTTTATTGTGTTTAAGGCCTCTCCTGGCTAAATGAAAATATTTGTAAAAATGGACTCCGTTACTTTTGAACAACATTAACAACAACAACAACAACCTCGAGAGGACTTAAAGTTGATGAATATTTTCAGCTTAGAGAATGCTCTTCTGATCTAAAGTAGCCCCCACTTAAACTTGTTCCAGGAGTTCCAGCTATCTGCTTATTTAGTTACATCTCTGCTGTCTCCCCAGCCTGTCTAGACCATAGCTTCCAAGTCCAGGGGCCTGCTCTGGCCACAGGAGTTCTTTTTTTTTATCCTCACCCAAGGACATTTTTCCATTTTTGTTCAGGTAGCATGGGAAGGAGAGCGACGGGGAAACATCTACGTGAAAACATCGACATGAAAGGGACACATCGAGTGGCTGCCTCCTGCATGACCCCAACTGGGGCTGGGGACAAACTGCAACCGAGGGACATGCCCTCAGTGGGAACCGAACCCAGGTCCACAGGCCGACGCTCTAACCGCTGAGCCAAACCGGCCAGGGCCACAGGAGTTTTTGATACATGATAACTAACGAAAGAAGGCAGGCCGGCTTACTGCGGGTTCCACACCAGGCTGGGTGACCAGGACGCCTCGGGGGAGCCTGGGGGGCCCACCTCCTTGGCAGCTGCACCTTCCCGGGTCCCGCGTGGCAGGGTAAGGCTGGCCTCCAGCTTGAGTGAGTATACACACCGGAGCCAAGCGATGGCAGAACAGGCAGCCCCGCTGGAGCACACGCGGCCACATGCTCTGAATCCTTGCAGCCACCTTGGTTGACCCATTTGACAGACGAGGAAACTGAGACTCTGAACTAGTGAGTCCCCTAAAGCTCCTTGGAGAGTGGGCATCCAGGCCCAGATTCAAACTCTGGCTGCTGGCCCACAGCCCGAGCCCAGCTGCAGACGGGAGCCGCTCACAGTGCCCCGGGGCAGGACTGGGCTCACCTCCCTCCCCATGGCTGGACCCAGGGTCAGAAGGCAAAGGTGAGGAGAGGGCACCAGCAGCACCCCTGCCGGCCTGGACCCCAGCCCAGAGCCCTCACCTCACCACGCAGAGGGCACTGGAGGGGCGAATGAATGAAGTGCAATGGGGGTCACTCCGTGGCCTCTAGCTCGGCTGCAAATAGTTCTGCGTGGGCGGAGGGAGCAGAGCCAGCACGGCCCCTCCTGCCCTGGGCCAGAGCCCCTTGGTGTGTCCCTGGGCCGCTCGCCCTCGCCCTGTGCTAGGCAGGGAAGAAAGAAGCCTGTCCTGGCAGGGTACCCCTGGGCCAGGCACCCCGCTTCATTGTATTAACATGCCCAATAGCCCTGTGCGGGAATGTGCCACCCCCGCTGTGAGACAGGAGCGGACACCCTCTTTCTTGGGAGGTGACATGATTGGGCAGAGCTGAGATTCCAGCCAGACTGGGGTGACCCCCAGCACAGTGGTCACCAGGAGAGCCTATTGTCCTCTGGTGTCAGGGGTCACCCAGTGTAAGATGGGGAGACAAGGAAGTCCGTGGAGGCCGTGGGCAGCCCAGCTCCTGGCTCCAGACAGACAGTGGACAGCGCCCTACAGCCTGCCCGGCTCACCCTCCAGGAGGGGCCTGCCGCAGCCTGGCTCTGAGCCCACACACGTGGCCCCATGGGTTGGTGTCCCCTTCCTGGCACGCCACGACCCCTTCAGCTGCCTACTGGCTCACGTCTCAGCCCGGAAGGCAGGCTGGGCAGGGGCGCTTGTCCTTATCAGACCCCGAGGCCCGAGAGGGACAGTGACTCAATCAGCATCGCCCCAGGCAGGTGCTGAGCTCTAACCGGTCACCCAGGGAATGGCCTTGAGGAAGGGGCCTCAGCCTGGCCCCCAAAGACCTTCTGGAGGAGGCGCTCGCCTGTCTGAGACGCTCACAGGATGTCCTTTCCCTGGTCCCATCTGGCTGCAGCTTGGGCGAGGCAGCAGGAAGCGAGTGACCGTGAGTGACTGAGAGTGTGGGAGGAGAGGAAGGCTGCAGGCAGGAACGGGGAGCTTTGGGGGCCAGCCCCCTGAGGACCAGCCCCCTGAGGACCAGCCCCCTGAGGGCCAGCCCAGGGCTTTGGTGTGGATGGGGGGAGGGGAGCACGCGGAGTCCTCTCAGCTCAGCATGGCCTGCCCACTGCCTCCCAAGACAGCACCGAGCAAGGTCTCAGGAGCTGTGGGAGGAAGGGCAGGGAGGGAGAAAGGTGCTGGCAGTGATCAGAGCTGCTTGGCTCCATGCGGCCACCTTGCACAAGGCCTGAGAGCACGTGTCACAATTCTCCGACGCCACTGGTGCCCCGAGTTGGACGATGGCCACACTGCCGGCCCTGAGAGCTCTGGAGGGAGAAGAGCCGCAGGGAGACAGGGATCAGGAAAGAGGGATCTGAGCAGTGAGAGGAGCCCTGGGGCGCTGCGGGAGGCAGGGGGTGGGGGGAGCCAGCCTGCGGGCATGGAGTGGCCGCCAGCCCATCCCAGCCAGTGCTGGCTATGCTAGGGCGCTGCGGGAGGCAGGGAGGGGGGAGCCAGCCTGCGGGCATGGAGTGGCCGCCAGCCGAGCCCATCGGTACTGCCCATCCCAGCCAGTGCTGGCTATGCTGGGGCGCTGAGGGCGCACAGGGCGGGGCCATGGCTGCGGTGGGGGGAAGGCTGCCTGAGGTGTCCCGCTCGGACAGGGTGGAGGGTGGACATACACGGGGTGGGGAAGGTGCCTATGGGCGGATGGTACAGGGCATTCCAGGGTGACTGCACGACCACAGACGAGAGCTGAGCGACCAACTGGAGGAATCTGGGGGCTGTTCCATGTGGTCACAGACATAGACACATGCCTGCCCTCTTAGGCCATGAAAACAGGTAAAGGGCAGAGGGGACAGAGGCCTGGATCCCACCTGGAGGGATCCTGAGCGCACATCCCTCCCCAGCCCTGAGAGTGAGTCTAGGACCTTTGCCCCTCGCCCTCCAGCCCTAACCTGGCCCTGGGCCCAAGATCCTTCTCTGCTGAAAGGGTCTGGCACCCTGTAAAGAAGGGCCTCCCCCCTTCTTCCTCCCTCCCTGCCTGACCCACCCACCGTTCCATTCTCCTCTAACTCCCACCCTCACCCCAGCTCGCTCTGCAGCTTCCCGAGGAATGGGAGCCTTGGAGGAACCCACAAGAACCACCTGGGACCCTGCTCTCCAGGTCCTGCTCGGGCAGCTTCTCCCCGAACCTCTGCACAGGAGGGAGGGCTGGGCCTTGACCCTTCACTGAGCATCCGCTCTTTTTATCTCATGCTGCAAATTCCTTGCTTTATGACCACTCGGGGCCCCAGATGCCTGCTGGCAGGTCGGTGCTGAGGCTGCAGCGTCTCTCAGCTCTGCCCACGCAGGTTCTGCCTGTGGTCTCTCCGGACCTCAGCTGCCCCCAGCCTGCCTGCCCAGAGTTAGGGAGGCTGTGACCAGCTTGGGAGGGGTCCTCAAGACTTTAGGGTGCCTAAGATCAGAGCTCAGGCACCCTCCACATTTTCCTGGGTCCTGGCAAGGGAGGGCCACCCTCAACTGCTCAGCAGAGAAACTGGGGTGGGGGGGCGGGGAGCGAGCCTGCTCACATTGTTTCTGGTTTTGGTCTTTGCTATCCACTCGGTTGGATTCTGTCTCTAGCTTCACATTGGACCCCAACACTGCGTGCCCCCCAGACCCCCGCCATGGTGGGCTGCTGCGATTCTAGCTCACGGTGCAGGTTAATTTAAGTCCAGTGAGAGCCTTCCCTTCCCTTGCAGCTCCCACTCTGATTGGACCACTTCAGGTCACATGCTGCTTCCTGATCCTTTGCCGCTAGTGAATGCCGGGTGTTGATTGGCCACACCTGAGTCACACGCCCCAATCCCAGATAAGGTGGGGAGAGCTGGGAAGGGAATTCCCACACTAAGATCAGGGCAGGGCCTCCAAGTGCCGGGGGCTGACCCACCCAGAGCCACCCCGGTGCAGACAGCCCCCTACCCCAAGAGCTGAGCCTTAAGCTCTCGGGTCTGTGTGCTTTCACTAACGACACAGGCTACGGGTCCATTTAAAAATCATTTTATTATTAACATCATCTTCCCATTTAGCCAAGTGTCTGTCATGTATAAGGAATGTCGGTAAATATTCCATTTGAAGCTTCTTTGTACATATTTCCATTGATAAATAAACTCTGAATTCACATAAAAAAGTTAAACTTAAATAACTCATATTTCCTTCTCTTGTAACAGGCATATATTGATAAAATATAAATATTCTTGGACTCAGGCTTTGTTCTAAGTGAGGACAGTAATTCATCACATGGTGCAATTATCGACAACAAAACCAAGAGGTCATCAGCTGGTGCCCTGGCCTGGACTAGCGCTGAGGTGGGAAAAAGGATTCACATTTGGTTTCTGGGCCAAGGGTGGGGCAGGCGTGGCGAGGTGGAAAGAACAGCTTTCTTTACAGCTCTGATAAAAATAATCTGTTCTGCCACTGCATTTTTAACTTTGAATATGTTCTTCTACATTTGCAGATTAATTCCATAATCATGTGACTTAAAACTCAGGTGTCAGCTAACAAAATATGGCACATACTCCATTTTGAACAGTGTCAGTTGATTCAGAAACAATCATTGGGCTGGCGCAGGAACAACAGAAATGCACGTGGGGAGAGCAATGATTCGGGGTTTGTTTGGTTCGATCACTGTGGTCAATCGCACATTCATCCGGGGCCTTGGTGTGGTGGGCTTGTCCCCTCAGGGCAACCCAGGGGGCCTCCTTGGCCCGAGGGGCTGAGGCAGGGGCGCCCGCTCAGAGCGCTCGGGGGATGATGGTGAAGGGCACCGCCGGGCTGCTGGCTTCCAGCTCCAGGGCCATCAGGAAGCACTCTGTGGCTGCCGAGTCGTTGCCCTGGGCCTGGAGGACCTCGCCCAGCCCGTTCCAGACTTCGTGGGCCGTGGAGTTCACCTGCACCGCATCCCGAAGAATCTTCTCCGCCAGACTGTGGCGGCCCACCTGATGAAGCACCAGGGCCTGTAGGCCAGAGAGACAGACAGACAGTCAGAGAGACCCTGCAGCTCCGGGCTCCCTTCTGCCCTTGACTTTCAGCAAGTTGCTTGGAGGGAGGCACGCGTCTCCATTAGGCCTGGGACTCGGTTAGCTCCAGTTCTCCCTGCACTCGGGCAATAGTCAAAGTAGTCCCTTGAACCAAATGAAGTGGCTGACATTCAGCCACTTTTGGTTTTTTATTTTTAATCCTCACCCACGATATTTTTCCACTGATGTGCAGATAGAGTGGGAGGGAGAGAGAGAGAAATAACGATGTGAGAGACACATCGATGGGTTGCCTCCCACACAACCCCAACCAGGGTCAGGGACCAAACCGCAACCGAGGTATGTGCCCTTGACTGAAATTGAACCTGCAACTTTTTGGTCCTTGGGCTGACACTCTAATCGCTGAGCCAAACCAGACAGGACCATTCAACCACTTTTAACGATAAATATAGCAATTTCACATGGTTCATCTGAACACTTAACACCCAGGAGCGCACCAGCGGGCACGGCCATGGTCTATCCCGCGTGTACCAGCTGACACATTGCCTGCATAGAAGGGTGTCATTTTTTTTTTTTAACTTAAAGAAATGTCATGTGTGTCATTACTATTATAACAATTAGAACAGAGTTTTAAAATTAGCTCATGGTCCCCTATCCTAACCAAGTCAAGACCTCTGATCTCACTGTCCTCTGCTCGCCCCAGGCTCAGCCTGGCACAGCTGTCATACTTCCATTGTAATCAGGGGGTATGTGCTGGTCCCCAAATATTTTATCAGAAGCATGTTTCAAAATTGCACATTTTCATAACTGATGTGTTTGTACTCTTCCTTATGATGGGTGTATTCTCGGCTCAGTCTCTCCCTTTCGGGGAGACATTCAGGCTGCGTCAGTCTCTGCTATTTTATTATAAATCTCTTGCGATGGACATCTTTCCAGATAGCACCTCTTCACTCTTAGATCGGCAGATCTCAACTTCTTTTTATGGCCCTGGAAACCTTTGGTTAAAGGGAACCTTACTGAGACCACTTATTCTGGGTACAAACGGACACAAAGGAACCGCTGGGGGTGGGGCAGGGCCATGGGGCGGGGCCTGGAGTCCCCTGTGGGCTCCTCCCAGGCCCTGGACGAGGCTCAGTGGAACCAGCTTGACCACCATTTGGAGATTCTTCTTTTAGGGCCAATTTCCTCAAATTCATGTTATTGGATCAGGGGATATTTTAGGGTTCTCCAAATAACTTGCAAATTATAGCCTCTAAGGGTCATGCCACTTTTTGGGCCATCAACAGAGTTTCAGTGCTCGGCCCGGCCCCACTATCTTCTTTATTTTTGATCATTTTGTAAGTGCGGATCGTCTGTGCTCATGGAACCTGCATTTCTTCAATAACAACTGAGGCGAAATACTTCCCATGGCTTTGTTTATCAGCCTTTCAGAAGGAGATGTTCGCCTGCTATCATAATTGTCTAGTCTGTTTTTGACTTTTGAGATATTCCTTTGAACACAAATTTTTAGTTTTTTTAATTGAGTTCACTGATCTTGGGCTATCTATCTCGTCTATCTTCAGAGCCTAGAGAGTTATCTTTTCAAAGAACTAATACGTGATCAATTCCCTTTATTGTGATCTTTCTCTTTTTTCCTTGGTAGACAGAAATCTAAGTGCATTTCTTCTACTTTGCTGGACACAAACTAGCTAATCTCCCTCCCTCCTGCTCCCGTGGCGCTGCCCTTACCATGTAGTGAATTATCACATGAAACAGGCCCTTCTGCGAGAGAAGCCGGGTTTTTTTTTTTTTTTTTATCCTCACCTGAGGGCATTTCTGCATTTATCCTCAGAGCAGGAGGGAGGGAGGGAGGGAGAGAGAAACATTGATGCTAGAGAGACACATCCACTGGCTGCCACCCACATGACCCCAACTGGGGCCGGGGACGAACTGCAACCGAGGTACGTGCCCTCAGCGGGAACCAAACCCGGGACTCTCTGGTCTGCAAGCCGATGCTCTAACCACGGAGCCAAACCGGCCAGGGCAGAAGCCGGTATTTTTGCAACGTTTGGTCTTCCCACCCCAGACTGCGGCATGGCGCACTGGTCCTTCGAATCTCTTCCTAATCCTCCCAACAGAGCCTCGCACGTCCTTCTGCGGTTCAGATGGCACTGATGACTTGCCCCCCATGTTCTCATGCCCGTACTTCACCAAGGGGCAAGGGCCAGTGGGTTGGCTCTCAGAGCAGAACCAGCCAGTGCCAGGGCACAAACGTACCTTCCAGAGGGCCAGCCGCGGCTTAAGCCACAGGTAGTGGGCACCATGGGTGCCGAGGGACCAGGTGGGGTCCACTCTGAAGAGCTCTGACAAGCTATGTGAGGAAGGCAGGTCACGGCAAGGAGTCCCCTGGCCCCAGGGCAGTGTGATGCTGTGGAGGGTCCGCCTCACACCCCCAGCCCCGCGAGGCAGGCAGGTCCTGAGCAGGGAGGGGGAGGCGGCCTGGGAGACAGAGGCTGCCTTCCCGTGACAGGGCACGCAGACTTCAAGGTCAGCTCTGCTCTGAGAGGAAAACTGAAAGAAAACATCACCCGCTTCCTTTCTCATTATCATCCGGACTTGCCTTAGTGATGCTCATGCTGGTTCCTTGGATGGGGAGGACCAGGTCCTCGTTGGATCTCCTGAGCTGGGGGCTCTGAGAGGGGGGCCAGCGCCAGGAAGACGGCTGGGTCCCTCCCTGGGGCTGCGGAACAGGAGGGGTGGCCGGGAGTCAGACCTCCCAACTAGGAGCTTTTTCATTTTGTTTTGTTTTGTGTTTTGGTACGTGCCCCTAGCGGGAACTGAACCCGGACTCTCTGGTCCGCAGGCCGACGCTCCAGCCGCTGAGTGAAACCAGCCAGGGCCCAAGTAGGATTTCACCTGGGCTTCTGCGTCCTGCTCCCAGCAGGGCCTCTGGTTCTCCTGGGGACTGCTGGCCTCAGCTGCCTTCCGCGGCGGGCACGGTCAGGGGCACGGTCAGGGGCACGGTCAGGGGCATGGCCCAGCGTACAAGCCTGCCAGCCCCGCTGTCCGCACGAGGCCCCGCAGAGACCCGCTGCCCGTCCGCACGGGGCTCCTCCTCACAGCTCCCACCGCGCCCACCGGGGGGTAAGGGACCCGTGTGCCAAGAACCGGCCGCGCGGTCAGCAGGGACTGGGGCTCCCTGGCCAGAAGACTTCACAGTGACGACAGCAGCAAACACTTTCGGTGTTTACGGCGGGCCAGGCACCGCTCTGAGTGCCTATGTTAGTTCCTTTAATTCATCTGGGCCCCCCAGAGCAATCTCACTCGGGCATGGGCACCTGGCGGAAGGCCCGTTTCTATGGCTGCAGAGAAAGAGCCCACAGCTGAGGAGCACCTGGCGCGGCGGCCGCTACCCCATGCCTTAGGTGCTCCTCTCCCATCCTGCAGGTGAGTCAGCTCGGCTCCTGGAGGCCAAGTCCCCCCCCCGCAGGCAGACAGCTAGCTGCCGCAGCAGGGCCAGAGCCCGCACCTCCTGCCTCCTCAGGCCTGCCCGAGATCCTGCGCAGGAGCCCGGGTGGCGGCGGTGAAGTCATCGCATCTGTCTCCTGGGTGGCGCCCCTCCCACTCTGGTCCTTTAGAGAAACTCCGAGAGCTCGGCACCCTCACCGCCCAACCTCGGTCAGGCGGGAAGAATTGCATCCAGGTTGCAATCAACAGGATGCAAGGGCTAATGAGCTCCTGCCTCCTCTCCTCTGGGGGAGTTCGTCAGCTGGAGCTCACTCTAGAATGTTCCGATTTACCCACCAGAGACCTGAGGGTAGGGGGGGTGGGTGGTGGCAGCCAGCAGCGTGAAAAGATTGCAGAAGGAGCCTTGTCATATCCCTGGAAGGCAGGACTTTCTCAGGGCGTCAGAAGTACTGAATACACACAGCTCTACTAGGCAGGGGGACACACTGCATGTGTTTGTCATGGGTGACGGGGGACCACCCACTTGGTAAGATAGAAGGAGGCCTCTCGGTTACTTGGCTGCAGATAGAGACTATAATTTAGGTCACACTCTGCTGGGCACTTGTTCATGGCTCATTTCATATGACCACCACGTTAGATTCAAGGAAACCAAGTTCAGAAAGGTCACATGGCTTGCCCAAGGTCACAGGGCTGATGAGTATGGAGCTGCCGGCCAGCCCAGATCTGCCGGAGGCCCAAGTCCGCGTTCTGCGCTCCCCACCCCCATCTTCCCACCAGCTCTGCCGCTTTAAGAGATGAGCCCAGAGCCCCTCAGGCACTAACCCAGTTACATCTGAGCAACAGCAAATAGGCATCTGCCCTGCTGTGTCTTCCCTTTCATTTCTCCAACCACTGACTGTTGCTCCTTCCCCGCTCGTGATGAGAAACAGCTTCTCTCCAGGGCACAGTGTTTTTCTGGCTCAGGTCTGCTTTTCGGAAGCATTGCATAGATTTGCTCAAGGACCAGACAGCTCCTTGCCTCCCTTTGGTATCCACAGGCTGGCTTCGGTCTTGAGCCGGCTACAGGTGCCAAAGGACTGGGGGGTCCTGTTAGGCAGCAAGTGGATCAGCGAGATGGGGACCCAGGAGGAGCAGGGCCCTGGCCCAGCAACACCCAGAGGTCACCACTCTCGGCAGCAATGACCTGCCCCGCCCTGCTGGAGTGGAGACAAGGACACCAGTCCTTTCGTGGTAATTTTATCTAGAAAGGGGCAGGCTGCTGGATCTGGGTGTGGCTTACCAGAGGGAATATGGCAAGGGGTGAGTCTACCCACTCCCCAAAGCTTGCAGAGACCCAGCCAAAGGGCTGATCTGATCCTCACCCTCAGCCTCGGCGGTTCTCAAGTGTCCAGGGCTCTTGGGGGCTTGGTGATTCCCGCCCACACCTGAGCTTGTATGCCCAATGTAGGAACACGCTGCCATTTCCAGATGACCTTGGAGCTTCCTGAGCAATCTGTTTAGTGGAATTAATTCGAAAGCTGGAGCTGCTCAGG